TCAAAACAGATACGAATAAATAAATAAAAAATATTGAAAGTTACAATAGTTTAAGGCATCAATTAATATTATTATAATGTATTGTACTCGGTAAATGTTTCACTTATGAATGTAAAATGTAAACGATATACTATAATGTGTCGACATTTAATAGACAATAAATTAGAAAGTAGTGAAATGTCTTATGAGAAAATCATTGAGCCTGTATTGTATCGGGAGTTAATTAATTTACAGAACGGGTTGATTAAATGAATAAGAGTAGTGAAAGATAATATAAATAATTTAATATTAAAAACTGATTTTGAGGTATTTAATAAAATCTTTTGGTTTTATACGATAATGGTGTTTCCTATATAGAAATGAAGTATTTTAATTAACTTATAAATAATTAGTATGCTAAAAATTTCCCAGGCCAAATATAAAAAAAATTATGGTTATAAAGTGTCCAGTGCCAAAGCTAAATAAACGGCTTTCAATTAATTATTATTGATATACAATATTCATTTAACGTATACGATTTTACAGAGCCGGTGTTATATTAATTGTATGACGCATAAAAATTAATTTAAAAATTCACATGTGTTCCTTTAATTATAATTACTAATTATGCATAAAATAAATAATTTAAAAAGTTATATAATCAAATTAAACTCCAATTTTTAATTTTTTTTAGTTTTATGCACGAAAAAAAAAAATAGAACAGAGTTTATGTAAAAAAACATAATTCAATAATAACTTTAAAGTACGATCGATGGATAAGTCTGTAGTCGTTTTCTCGATGAACTCCGAAGGCCAACAGTAGTGTTTTCCAAGCTGTGTTCGGCAGTTAGATGTCACCGAGAAGACAACAAAATAATGGCAGTATATATGAAATGCGATCTGAAAGTAAAGAGTAAAATCAGGAAAACAAAAAATTCAAGTGTCCCAATTACAAAACTCATACCGTACCTTTTTGGTTTTCTTCCAACGGTAAGGGAAAAGCACGGGCTAAACAAAAATGAACGACACACCGTGAGTAAAAAAAAAAAAAAAAATGATAATGTTGTTGCTATCCAAGCCACCCGCAGTCTGAAAATTACAATTCACATAAATTAATACAGTCATTGCTATATTGTACGACCGTGGAAAAAAAAATAATTACAACAGGACCACAAACATGTTCATGAGTGTGATTAAATATAACAAAAATAAAAAATATTTATTCAACACACATTACACAATGCGGTCACCAATAGATAATATAATGATCACCTAACTTTAATTGACATATGAAAATTAATTACTTGTGTAATAAATCGGTTAGCAGTTAGAGACTGCGCTCTTGGCCAACGGACTGAACCGTTATTGAAGCAGTCCTTCGGACACAACAAACGCCATCTAAAAATTACAAAATCAAATTAATCAATACAGCCATTACAATGATTATATAGACAATTATAAAATTGTAACATTATTATTATTACCACAAATATCAATGTAGTACATGCAAACAAAAATAAAAAAAAAAGTATCTCTATGTAAATATATATATATATATTTACATAGATAGAGAGAGAGAGAGATTGAGTAGACTGATATAGTACAAATGTCACCGGTAAATGAAATACAAATTGACACAAATATGCTAAGTAAATTAATAATAACGTATAAAGATGAATTGTACTTTTAATTGAATAACAATAAATTTCTTTTGACAAATGAACATTAATTTTACCTGTGCCAGAAATCCAATAGTGATGACAGCCAACAATCTACAGCTCGGTTATCCTGGCACAACAGTGTAGCACAGCCTAAAAATGACAAAATCAAATTAATAATATATATTAATTACAATAGTGGTATATTAATTACAATAGTGGTAAAATCGTCGCCCAACGCACGCGTTTTTTAACGAATAAACACGCACTACCCCCATATAATTAATTTATAATGAATAAACGGACGTATGACGGATAAATTTACAAAACGGAATTAAACAATATCATCGTTAAAACGTAGACAATTCGAAAACCAAGTCGATCGTCGTCATCGCTGTAAAATTATCGAGCGCACGTTTCGATTAATATATATATAATCGCAATAGAACTGAAAAATTTACAAAATCACATTAATAAACGAATACGGTCAAAACACTATATTGAAATAACGACAGAATAAACGACGACGCACAAAACGGCGGCGCGGTTGTGATAACGACCGCGTTCGGGCGTCGGACGCGGCGATAACGACGAAACGGCGGGAACGCGACGGGCCGAGTGGGAGGCGCGCTCCCCTATTTCGCGTCGTTTGGCGTTCCATGAAATAGCGAAAATCGCGAATTTAAGAAAACGGGTACGGCGAAAAATTCGAGCGGCGGTCGGAAAAGACGCGAAACGATAAGAGCCGTCGAACGGTACGGAAACGGAGGCGATAGGATTAAGATCGGAATTTTAATGCGGAAAAAACGTAAAATTCTTCCAGGTGGCTCATATTTAGAGGGGCTTACGAAAATAGGATATAAAGGGAGATATACTTTTTTATTCGACGATCCACTTTGTTTCATTATAGTGTATATTATTTTATTTAATATTATTGGTTTACTTATTGTTTATTTTTTTAAATCCACTTATGATCCGGGTGTTGTTTTTTTTATGATCAAGACCCTCGCTTAAGTGGTTGGCGACCCGATTTTCCTTTTGCAAGGGAGCCATGAGGGTGGCGACTCCACAATCCGTTGCGTGGCCCAAGTCGTCACCTCTCAATAGACACAATTCCTTGATCTAAAATTGGTAAAAACAATCATTTACAAAAGTTTCTTCTTCATTTATAGAACATAATACAGGATAGCTTTCATAATTAAACATTCGTTTCTTTAAACTTATTTTTTTTGACTTAAACTTTAGTGTTATAATAAATTTTTTGCAAATAAGTATAGCTTCTTCTTGTGCTTCATTAAATCCATTTTCTCGATACTTATTTAAAAACTGATTGAGACCTTTCAAATTATTTACAGCAAAATCAATTGAAAAGCTTTTATTTGGCAGAGATTTGCTAATTTTATTAATATTATTTAATAAATTATACCATATTATTGAACTTAGAACAATTTCGTAAGACATTTCATGTTCATCAAAAGAAATAGCTTCACTTATATTGCCGGTATTGATGTAGATTCACTTACTTCTATTAACGCTTCATTTATCTCTTTAAGTTGTACTTTCACGGCCTTCACAGATTCTAATTGGCACTCCCATCGAGTATCAGACAACTGTTCCAATGTTAAACATTTTAAATGTTTTTCCAGAATTTCCCAACACTCTGTAGAAGCAGAAAATAAAGTGTTCAACCTTTGTATCACTCTGAAAAAGGTTATAGCTCTTGGAATACAATTTACTATATCTCCTAAAATAATAATATTCAAATAATTATTAATGACATATTGTTTAGATAAAAAATAATAAAGAACAGGCAACTAAAAATCTTACCTAATAAAATATTTAATGAATGAGCACAACACAGCAAAAACAACGCTCTAGGATTTTCATTTAAAATTCTAGCCTGTACACCTTGCTTATGTCCAACCATATTTACTTTAACATTATTATAACAGATACTTTAACATTATTATAAGTTTTAGTTATCTGTATAATTCTGATGATTAACGTTAATTGTTCCTAGTGAGATGCATCAGGAGTTCCATCAAGCATAATAGTGTAATATTTTGCTTTTTTAATATGTGTTATGATTTTTGTCCTTATTTTACTTCCAATCAAATGTAATAATTCAGTTTGTATCCTGGGTCCCAAATAATGTTGATGGATTATTTTATTTTTTATATTTCTCAAGTATTTAGCCATAGGATTATCAAAACTTGTTTTCATTTCAATAAGTTTAAGAAATTTACCATTTGATTCTGTATAAATGGTATAGTTTTTTCCTCGGAACGCGTCATTTTGTTGAGCAAGATAAATAATACGAACTATTATTCTTTTCGGTACTGTTCTACAGCGGTCATTTTCAGTTCGAATTTCTTTTTGAAGTTCACTGTCTAAAGTTTTACCACTATCTATACGCCATGATAATTCTAATCATTGTTGATTAGACTTTTTATGATAAATTGAATAATCATGTCTTTTAATACGTTCAGATAAATTTTTCCAGTTATTGAAGCCATCAGTAAAACTAGTTTTGTTCTTAGGATTTGGGAACAACCGACACGAAAAACAAAATACAGCATTCATTATATGAGCCATGGTCTTATTACATTTCACCATTTGTCATAGTCTTATAATAATAGTTTTCAGAGAATGATCTTTGTTCTTTATTCACTGGAAATTAAAATTTTTTTATTTGAATTGTCCTTTTTTTTGCAATACATGAACGATATTATCTATCTATTACTGATGGCCAATTTGCTGGGTCTTCCAACTCAAATACATGATTACTGGTGTCTTGTAGTTGTGACTAATAAAAAAAAAACATAGTATGTTTTTCTTTTTACAAACACAATAGCCTGATGGCAGATTAGCTGATTATATGCTGATTATTAAATATAATTTTCTAACACAATAAGCATCATCCAGAAAATTCTTTCGGTGTGCGGCGATTGTGGTGATGACGATAGTATGCATTGTTACATACATGTCACAACTATTCTTGTTAAGTGTATTTAAAAAAATAAACAATAAGTAAACCAATAATATTAAATAAAATAATATACACTATGATGAAACAAAGTGCTTCGTCGAATAAAAAATTACCATGGTCCAGATGGGATTGTTCGAGTTGTTACCATCGATACTTCAACTGGAACAAAACTTAGACCTGCTGCCAAACTTTACTAATACACCTCTTTGTTGTAGATTTTGATTTATTTCAAACATTCGAACAATACAATGGCAGATAGATATCAATCGGCAAATTTAAGATTAGCTGGTCTTAATTCTTCATCCAAACGACGTGTAGCCGACCAAGTTTTGGACAAATTGGCTTAATGTCCAACCATGAACCACACTTCGTCGTACTCGATCCATCGGGCATTACTTCACGTCTAAAGAGCTCTGTCAACCCTGCAGCTGTTAGGTTACCCTGTGGGTGACTGCGATGTCACTTTGGTGAGGGCCATTGTCAAGTCTATGGATTCTGTCATGTTGCAAGAATGGGAGAAAGTTCTAGAAAGTAGGAATCTTGTTTCCTTACCCTCTGTCCATGAATTGATCATATATTTACACCATGCGGCAACACTCGCTGATATTGGTCCACAGCAGTCATCCACAGAGCCTATGTCTATTCGTCCAACTACATCTCCTTCGCTCTCGTCCATTCGTCCATCTACTACTCGTACTGTTTCAAGTCGGCCTACTCCAACTGCTGTTGAGTCGTCGAACCAACCTCAAGAGAAGGTTAAATACACGGTGGCCACGGAAAGGTGCCCATTATGTTCGGCCTTCCACCTCCTTCGTACATGTACAACATTTCTTTTAGCCCCTGGCATCAAAAGATACCATATCACCAAAGAGTATGTCCTTCGTCTATATTGCCTGTTACCAGGACACAGAGCTGTATGCTGCAAAGAACAAAAACCTTGTTGTATTTGCAAAGGCAATCACTCCCACCTGCTTCATATCGACCACAAACCGCTCACGGACTCCCCATATCAATCTATCTAACTTCATAAATAATAGTCTCCTTCTCAAGATCAACTGTCTTCATTCAACCATATTTGTCCAATTCACATCCATCGACCATCAGTTCAACATCCTTGCAGTCCTTCGACCACTGGACTACTTGCCTATCAATTATAAAGGTGCATACCTTTGTGGTGGCCGGTATGTTCGGGTGAACGCTCAAGTTGGTCATACTGATAGTGTATCAGCTGGTGATAACACTCCACTCATCGAACGCTTGGCCGTTATGGTTTTGTATTTACTCTCTCATTATTCGTCGCCTTAATACCTTTGATTTTGTTTAACATTGTTTTCTCGCTTTCGTTGTTCAACTATTACTTTTCCCGTATTCTTAAAACTTATATTTTTTTTGTGTTGTAATACTAAAGTTGTTTTGTCTATTATTAATTCATTAAGCACTCTTGTTGGCCTATTTGAACCGGCAGTTTAAATACAACACCAACCGTGTACTTATCGTATTTGGTAATAATTTCAATAGTTTCAATAGTTTCAACGTTATCTAGTAATCAACACTCCCTTTTAAGTTTATTTTTTCTATTGTGTTTATATATTCTTTTTGCACTAGTATTGTTTTTTATATTCTTTAAAACTCTATCCATCTCTGTTAGTGTTTTCCAAATATATAAGGCAGTACAACAGTTTGAAATATAATAAACCTCTTTCTGGCTGTGAGCAACTGTGAGTATAATCTACGTCTTATCAATATCTGTTGATACAATTTCAAATCAGCTGTTCATCTCTGTTGTTCTCTTGGAGACTTAAACGCGCGGGTACTAAGTTACCACGTAGTATCATCTTTGTTTTCAACATTCATTGCTGTAACTTTGGTTGTATCCACAAATTTTAAGGAGCATCCAATCAGTGACATTGTTTAAGTCGAATTATGGCACCAACATCTCCAAATGCTGCCTCTCAAATTATTACCCGGTCTAATTCAAGAACAACCAGTTCGCTTACCTTAGAGGCTTTCAACAAAACTATGGCTGAGCACCAAATAACTCAAGTAGAAACCCTTAACCAATGTAAATTACTTTGTGATTCCCAAAATGCCCAATTTACTGAACTTAAAGAGAGTATAGGACTTCTATCTTCTCAGATTATAGATTTAAAATTGGAAAATGACAAACTCCGTGAGAATATCTCTAATCTAGTTAGGCGCATTGAAACCCTGGAATCTACCAAAAGTTCTCACTTTTCTTCTTCTGCTGACACTATACCAAGCATTCTTCAAGAAATTGCTGACCGCGAAAAATGTTCTCGGAATGTCATCATTCGAGAAATTGTCGAATCTTCTTCTTCTGTCTTAGAAGACAGAATGTCTAATGACACGTTAAAAGTTATTGAGCCAATTAAGCCATACATTCCTGAATTATCGACGGGTCTCAAGTCAATTAGACTAGGTAAGCCTAATAATGCAGGACCTCGGCCTCTTAAAGTATTTTTTCCCCTCTAAAGACATTGCTTTTAAACTTGTTTCCGAATTTAATAAAAGCGTCAAAGGTCTGCCTTCCGACAACATTCTTCGCTCTATCTCGATGACCCGCGATCGCACTCCTCTTGAACGAGAGTCTATCCGTCTCGTATACACCGAATTGGAAAGTCATAAAAAGAACGGTGAAACTAACCTAACTATCAACTATAGAGATGGAATCCCATTTATTGTTCCACTCCATCGGTCGTCCCAGACTAGACGTCATCATACTTTGAACGCTGCACTAGTCCAGTCAAAAAACTAGCAAGTTATGACTTACCACTGCTGAGACAAGAGCCCACTGCTTCGAAAGACTGCTTACATTTTTGTCCATGCTTTCCAAAACTTCAGCCGAAGCTGTATGATTACCTTTATATCAAAATCGTCTTACTGTACGCACTGTTATTCAGGTCAACAAACTTTAAATACTTTTATTTTGTATTTTAATAACTTTAAAACTTTATTTTCTAAATTTGATTTTATTCCTAATGTTATAAGCTATAATTTATGTAGTAATGCCCTTAACCTAAAAACATTTTATCAAAATGTACGTGGACTCAAAACTAAATTAGACGATCTTAGGTGTTCCTTTCCATTGTTCTACTTTTATGATGTTATTATCCTTACAGAAACTTGGTTGACACCAGACATTAGCAACAGTGAACTTAGTTTCTTTGGCTTTCAGGTGATAAGACTTGATAGAAATCCAAACAACAGCCCTTTTAACAGAGGAGGTGGAGTACTAATCGCCATCAAAAATTCACTCAAATTCCATCCTATTACATAACTGTTAACTCTTATCATCTGTTAGTAGGTTGTGTATACTTACCTCCTCATACTCCTCTTCCAATAGTTCAATCCCACGTTACCTCTGTTAAGCAAATTATATCCTCGTATAAACCTCATTCTATTATCCTATGTGGAGACTACAATCTCCCTAATGTTACATGGTCATCTGACGAGCTTGAGTTAATTGCGACTGATGATCACAATATTGTGTCAACAACTATCATTGATTCCTTTTCTTACTTAAATTTCTTTCAGCATAACCTCCTCCCCAATAGTTATGGCAGTATTTTAGATCTAATTTTTTCTAACTCCAATAAAGTCACTGCTAGAGCAGCATTAGAATCACTTGTCATTCCTGACCCATTTCATCCACCTCTTCACATCATATTTCCTTTCCTAACTGAAAATATAGCAGATTACACCCATACTTACAAAGACTTCAAAGTTGCGAATTACTCCGCTATTTCGCAATTCGTCAACTCATTTAACTGGGAGGCGACCTTTTCACAATATTCAATTGACGGTGCTGCCTCTATTTTCAATGAAGCCTTACTTCGTGCAATTCAGTTGTTTGTTCCTACTAAAACCTACAAATCAACCAAATTTTTTCTCTGGTTCTCCTCTACACTTAAAAATCTTATTCTAGAGAAAAAACGTGCCCATGCAATTTTTAAACGGTATAAGTTGCCAAATGAATACTTTGTTTTCTCTGAACTTAGTGCGAAATGCAAACGTTTATCTAAAACAGACTATCAGTCCTATATAAAATATACACAACAATCGCTTACTCACAATCCCTCCTCCTTTTGGGAACATTTTAAAATTTTAAGCCAACACAACAAATTACCTTCCACCTTATGTTGGAACAGTACTACGGCTGATAACCCTCATGATACTGCTAATTTGTTTTCTAAGTACTTCTATTCCATGTATAACTCCTCTAATTGTGCACCTTTTAATTTTCCTAATTATAATACCTATCCATATGAACTTCCCTCTAATTGCCACTTTACACTTGATGATGTACAACTCGCACTTAACTCTCTAAAAAATAACAATTCTAATGGCCCTGATGGTATTTCTGCACGTTTACTCTTTAACTGTCAAAACTCTATAGTGTATCCTCTATTCCTCCTCTTTAGACGTTCTCTCGGTGAAGGCGATTTTCCTGCTGTGTGGAAGACCTATTTGATTACCCCTGTTTTTTAAATCTGGTGATCCCTCACTGGTTTCTAATTACAGGCCTATTTCCATCCTCCCCAACATTCCTAAACTGTTTGAATCCATTATACATAAGTACATCAAT